ATCAAGAAGAAAATCAAGTATTTATCTTAAAACATTTTCGTAATTTAAGGTACATCAAACACATCTTCTTTCATCTTAGCCTCTGAAAGTTTAGGAAACTTTGTTTGCAAATACTAAACCATTTGCCGTTTTTTTTCATGAGCTTTGACATACTGCTTTATCAGACCAAGCTTTTCAGACGAAATTTTTTTCGCACATCAGCAATTTTCACTTTAGAAAAAGCTCTAAAAATATAGAGCTATTTGGATGGAAAAGGTCAATACATAATTATTTGACTCATTACGAATAACACTTACCCATCGAATAATAGTCTTTGAATGTAGTAAATCTAGGAAGAAGCACTGATGAATAATGCAACTTAAGTGTTTCTTGGGAGAATTCAGTCTTTGGTAAGTTTTTAATTATCAGAATGTGTAGACATTTCCTTTATAATAGTTAACAGCAGTGTTAGTAGGATACTTCTCTCTATTATTTTATTTTTGTAATCCTTCAAGATATTTCTATGTTAACTTCTTAATTGTATACAATAGCTTTTAATAATTTGACTGAACTGCTTATTTACTGAAATTTGTCATAAATTTTATAAGAATGTATATAGGGGAAGGTTGGGTGGAATGGGCAGGCGGGTAATATGGGTATTTGCTGTTTAAAGAGTACTATAATGTTTTAACATTTGAAAATTTTTTTACTTGTAGTTATATGAACAAAGGAGTAACTAAAATGAAAAAACTATATTTTGGTGAAGAAACAAATAAATAAGCCGTCGTGTAAATTTGATGGATAAAAAAATGGAGCGACCTGCAGAAGTATGCAAAGAGAAAATCGCCTCAACCTATTAATTGACCTTGTCTCAGGGCATATATCGTTAGATTAAGCGATTTTCTTTAAAATGGTGTGTGATTTGTTTCGATTTAATGAAAATCTGGTATATTATAACGAATTTAATATTAGTTGGTCGATGGGGCGGGATGGGTAACACGACAAGAGGTGATATGGGCAGGCCAGTCCTGCGGGCGCTCACTCTATAGCAGACAGCTGTGAACTTCGCGATGTAGGATCAGTGATAAATATTTGTTGTTTAGTTATAAGTTTAGTTGTATTTAGAGTTTATTGCTTGTAAATAATGCCTCGCAAGTACACGAAAAAGTTCAACCGGTACTTATGGAGTGAAGAAGATATGAGGAAAGCCTTGGTCGACGTCAAGGGAGGCATGAAAGAGAATGCGGCAGCTAAAAAATACAACGTACCTCGTGAAACGTTAAGAAGAAAATGTTTGTTGCTGAAAAATACGCCAAATGCCGAAAATCTCCCTTTAAAGACAGGTATCTCAATTATGTACTTCGTTTTAAATAAATAAAAAACTTGTTCAAGCACTGCCATTTATAGGTTATTTACTGTGCTAGGTACCTTTGAACTTTAAACTTATTTTACAGCTCTTGGATTCAAACCAGTTTTCTCCAAAGAGCAAGAAGACGTAATTTACAATGAAATAATTAAACAAGATTCAAGATTGAATGGTTTTTCTCAAGAAGAGGTTAGATCCATGGCATTTCATTATGCGAAAAGTTTATTCCCAAACAATGAAATTTTCAATAAGGATACTCAATTAGCTGGCAAGGACTGGTTTCGAGGGTTTTTGAAAAGACATCCACAACTATCATTAAGGAAACCAGAGCCTACATCGGCAGCTCGCTCAAGTTCGTTCAATAGAACAAACGTCGCTGCGTTTTTTAAGCTACTCGGTGAACTCCAGGATAAATATAAGTTTCAACCTCAACATATTTTCAATGTAGATGAGACTGGAGTTTCATGCAATCCCAAGTCTCAATTAAAACTTGTATCTATCAAAGGAAAGAGACAGGTTGGATCAAAGGTTTCCGCCGAACGTGGGACAACTGTCACTGCATGTATCTGTTTTTCGGCTTCAGGAAATTACATGCCTCCACTCTTGATTTTCCCAAGAAAAAAAAGGAACGAAAGCTATCTTCATGGTAAGATGGATGATGCCTGGGCTGAATTCAATGGCAGTGGATGGATGGAAGAAGAGATATTTACAAAATGGCTTGAAAAATTCATAAAATTCTCTGGGGCAACGATTGATCAACCTGTTCTTCTTTTACTGGATGGACACGCAACGCATGTAAAGAACCTTGATGCGATAAAGTTAGCTAAAGATAATGGTGTAGTGATGTTATGCTTTCCGCCTCATTGCACCCATCGTATGCAGCCTCTCGACGTTGCATACATGAAGCCTTTGAGCAACTGTTATACCAAAGAGGTAAACAAGTGGATGAGAGATCATCCGCATTCAACGATAGGACTGAAAGATATTTTTTCTATTTTTACTCCGGCATTTCTCCAAGCATTAAACATGGCCACTGCGGTTAAAGCTTTTAAAGCCACAGGAATTTGTCCTTATGATCCAGAAGTTTTCAGGGACTCTGATTTTGTACAGCAAGTATCTGATGAAAATCAAGTACCCGTTGAAGAATCCAGTGAAGCTCATAACCCAATAACCCCAGGTTTGTAACATTTGTTCTTGTTTATTTACTATTATGCTTCAACCTTGTTTCATTACATCAAATTGTTTATTCAGGTTTTGAGCCCTTTTTTGTGCCACTGGAAAAAACAGATATGCCATCGAATTTTCAAGTTGCATCAAACTCAACAAGTGAATCACTCACAGCCTCAGAAGATCATCATGTAGCTCCAGAAATTATCAACACCCGTCAACTTGAAGTTAGTCCTGATGTTCTTTCTGCACCAGCTGGTGAAATACTGACTGAAAATAATACATGTGACAGTGCAACTCTTGACTCGATTGACACAAGTGTCGAAAAATCTTTGGATAATCTTCCCCCANTGCTAAGCTTTTTCTTGCCGTAGCTTGCCTGCCAAAGAATCATCTGAGTTATTGCATTAACTAATAAATAGCTAAGGTCAATCAGGTAACGGCAATAAGTTAATCAGCTTTTTATTCATTCATTTAATAAATTAATTATCTAAATAGTTAACAAGAAACGGCAATAAGTAGCTCAGCTGTTTATTAGTTCATACAACAAATCAATTTTTACTTTGCTAAGAAAGTAACGGCAAAAAGTTGCATCGCTGTTTTTCAGTTCCCATCATGGAAAATCTATGCTATTCATCAGTTTATTTGAAAAATAAGTTGTTTTTATGATGATTAAGCGACGGCAAACATTACCTCACTTTTTTATTAGTTAATTGATTAAATAAGTTACTTGTTTTTTAGCACGCGTTGGCATTTAGTCAATCACCCACATTTCATTCTATTTAAAAAAATTAATTGTTTTTCCTTGGCTCAGTGGTAATCGTGCTCATTATGGATTTAATGCTGTTCTAGGAGTCTTGGGTTCAATTTCCTATTGGTACAGATTTTCGAATAACTTTTTTTACTGGAAAAAAATTCTATGAATTTTGGTCTGTTTTAGGGTAGGTTTTTCCATAAAATCTTATGTCCAAATAATTTTTTTGTTGAGTTTCTTCCTTGTTGAACAGGTCTTCAAGCCTGTGTGAATGCGAAACAGTATTAGTGATACAGGTAGAGATTAGCCTAGATCAAATGATTAGACTGTCACGGTACTTAACCTAGTAAAACATAAAAAAAAGAAAGATTATTTATATGTTTGGCAAGCAAGTATCAGCGAGCAGAATCTAATCAATTCTCAGTATTGTTAAAAACAAAGTGCCAGTAGGCAATTAAATATTGCTGCTAACCAACATTACAGTTTTAATATATCATTTATAAATAAAATGGTAACATAGGCTAGCAGTAAAAAAGCATTATAAGCGTATCGTTGTTGGCTGACTTGTGATTCCCTGGTCAAATACGCACCATGTAAAACCCGATTTTTCCTAACAAATAAATTGCCAAATTTTTCATAACCAACACTTGCTTGCCATAAAAATAGTTCATTTGACGAATAAACTATTATATAGCTAATTTACTTATTGCCACGGCTTTTACTTGCGAAAGAAATAATTTATTTATTGCATAAATTAATAAAAATCTGGGCTATTTACCCCCGACGATTGCTAGCCAATGAATAAGTTTAACAATAAAAGGAATTTATAAAAAGCTAAGCTATTCATTGCTACCGCTTGCTCCCCAAAGAAATATTGTATTTATTAAATAATCTATTAAAAATCTGATTTACTCATTGCGGTAGCTTTCTTGCA